AATTTTGTCGGGACTTTCTGTCTTGGAACCCAGCCACCACCAGTTGCGGGAAGCAGAAGTCACATGTTACAGCTGTGTGTGGACACGCTAGCTGACAAGCCCAGCTCAGTCCCAGCAACAGCCAGGATCAGTGACAGCTGTCAGAGCACCCGCCCTGGCTGTCTTCTACTGACGGGAGCCCTGTCCTGCCTGACCGAAACTCAGAGACCCTGCGTTGAGCTGCCTACCCTCATGAACGGAGAAGATGCTGACCTGTTGTCTTAAGCCATTAAGATTATAGGGCGTTTGTTTCCACCTCGAGCTTTACTGACTGCTAGGACTATTATCTCCTAAGCTAGTGCTTCTCAGAATGAGTTTATGAAATAGTGATACAGAGAAATCACAGAGGTTGTGCATTTTGGAAAACCTTTTGAGGAAACACCTATAGAATTAAACACAACATGTGTACTTTTCCAATGGGACAAGGAAGAGCAAGACCATATAGTAATAGACAGAAATCTAAAGGAAGGAAACAGTAGTCAGTGTGAAAATACAAATGATGTTTAAAAAATAACCAGCATTTTAGGTATCATAAAAGTAAAAAAAATAGTATTTGAATAAGGCCACCTATTTTTTAATTAGAAAGATAAAAAGTAAAAAGGTGAACAAAGAAACATTAGGTAAAAGCCTATAAAACTAAAGCAGCATGTTAATATCACGGGTGGACAAACAGTACTTAAGGGAAAAAACTGAAAACAAAGTCTTTTTATATACCTAAAAGTGAAATTCCATAATGAAATTATGACAGCCAGAAAATTTATGTGAATGTATGTGAATCAAAATATGGAAATAAATTTTAAGAATTCAAGAGAAATGAACAGAAGTTTAATTACAGCTGGGAAAGTTAACATCAGTATCAGTTTTTATCATAAGAAGTAGTCAAAAATTAAATGAAGACATCTCAGTTTTGAATATTAGAATTAATGAACTTGGATTAATAGAAATATACTAAGTTCTGGACCCAAAATGGAAAATGTATGTTCTTATTAAACATCTCTGTAATATTTACAAAATATGTTTTCAATACTGTGCAAAAAAAAGTTGAGGACAATAATTACCATCTTATAAGTTAACAACCACAATACTTATAAAATTACTGTATCAACATCTAACAGAATAAAAAGTACTACATACAAAAAAAAACTGTGGGATCTTACCAAAGCTGATATCATGGGTAAATTTATAGCCCTGAATATTTTTATTATGTAGAAGACAGGAAAGAAAGCAAGAAGTAGAAGGAATGCAATAATAATAAATACTAAAATAAAACATTCTGCAAAAAAGTACTAGAAATGCTAATTTAACATTTTCTTTAAAAACATTTTATGGTAAAACATCACCTTAAAGTAAACAAACAGATATTAGAAAGGAGAACTGTAGCATATAAGAGATGCTGTAATTTCAAAATGATAAAATAATACTATCTAAAGCTCAATGTTGAAATATTAAAAGTTATAATCAATTAATTTTCTATAAACATAATAAACGGACCTATTTCTTTCATTTTATATTTTAAAGATTATGTAAGGAAATGGGGGCATAAGTCTGCGCATGGACATTTTTATTCATCATTCAGTTCTTACATAGTAAAAACCTGAAAACAATCTAAACATCTGATCAGCTAGGAAAAGTACTGGCAATGGCAAAGGTTTGGTTAGGCATTACACAAGGTTTTAAGTGGAAAGCTCATTATTGTTTATGTAACAATGATATCAGCTCAACAATATAGCAAGACCTTAAGTTCACTTTATCCTTCTGTTCATCCATCCATAGTAAATTGGCATTTCGTCTTTACTCTTGTCACTACATAGTTGCAAGAAAGCTGTCTGGCTTGAAAAATCATGTTCGTGAAGGAAGGAGAAACAGGAGGAGCTAAAATCAGCTCTCTTCTCTCATCTATTCTTTTCATCCGAAAAGCAAATGCATTAAGAGCAGTTCACCTAGCAGTTCCAGGACCAAGCCTGGTCGCCTGGCTACCATAACGATGTAGGACCCCGGGAAACAGTGAAGATTTTGTTCAGCTTTTATAATACGATGTGACCAAAGGAGATGAAAGGGAGTGGTCTCTGGGTAGCTGCCAAGTGTCTGCTACAATGTCCCACATGTAAAAAGAAATCGAAAAATGCTAGCTAGCCTTACGGGACAAACTTTAAGAAAAGCAATTAGAAAAAAACTCCATCTACAATAACATCCAAAAAATAAAATTAGGAATAAATTTAAGAAGGTGAAAAACCTGGACATTGAAAGCTGTAAGATGTCAAAGAAAGAAACTGAAGATGACAAATAGAAGAAATTTCCATGTGTATGGATTGGAAGACTTAACATTGCTAAGATGTGCATACTATCCAAAGCCATTTATAGATTCAATGGAATGTAATCAAAATTACAGTGGAATTTTTTCCCAGAAATAGAAAACAAAAATCCTAAAATTCATATGGGACCATGAAAGACCCTAAATAGCTAAAGCAGTCTTGAGAAAGGACAAAGCTGAAGGCATCACACTTCCTTATTTCAATCTGTATTACAAAATTAGAGTAATCAAAAGAGTATGGTACTGACAAAACATAGACCAACAGAACAAAATAGAGAGGCCAGAAATAAACTTACAGATAAATGGCCAAATTATGACAAAGGGGTCAAGAATATACAATGGTGTGGAGAAAACTGGGCAGCCACATGCAAAAGAATGAAACTGAATCCCTGTCTTGCACCATACACAAAAATCTACTCAGAGTGGATTAAAGACTTGAATGTAAGACTAAAACCATGAAATATCTGGAAGAAAACATAGGGGACAGGTTCTTTTCTTTAGTCCTGGTAATGATTTTTTGGATGTGACATCGAAAGCAAAGTCAATAAAAAACAAAGATAAATGGACTGTATCACAGAAAAAAAATCTTCTGTGAACCAAAGGAAACCACAAACAATATCAAAAAGCAACAGAAACAATGGGACAACATATATGTAAACCATATATCTGACAAGGGGTTAATATCCAAACTAAAGAACTCATACAACTCAATAGCAAAAATAAATAAAAATCTAATTTTAAAAAATGGGCAGAGGTACTGAATACACATTTTTCCAAAGAAGACATACCAGTGGACCAAGAAAAAATCCTCAATGTCACTAATCATCAAGGAAATGAAGATCAAAATCACAATGAGATATCACCTCACACTTGTTAGGATGGCTGTCATCAAAAAGACAATAGACTCATTCAAAAATCCACAAATGACAAGTGCTGGAGAGGCTGTGGAGAATAGGGAACCCTCCTACACTGCTGGTGCGAATGCAGTTTGGTGCAGCCACTGTGGAAAACAGTATGGAGATTCCTCAAAAGACTAGGAAGAGACTTACCATATGACCCAGGAATCCCACTCCTGGGCATATATCCAGAAGGAACCC